CTCTGGGCTGCAAAGGTAAGAAGAGAAAGTGAGGTCCGGAGGTAACGCCACAGTGAATTAAGACTCAGCGTAGACGTTTCAGACTCACACTTTGTCTTTGTTTGTCTTGTTTAGGTCCATCCCGTAGAGTCTGGCTGAGATGAAATGATCTTTGAAGGCAGGGATGAGTTTGAGTGTGGCCATGCAGCCCAGAGCTGACATGAAACAGCTGATGACCAGCGGCAGGACGGGAACAGGTGACATATTTTCAGCCGTTCTTATCAATCTCACACATCAAATCACGTCTCTACAGCAGCTAATCTCACAGTGAATCCTTCTACACGACTGACGAGGAAGCACCGGATGTTTTCACTGAAGTATCATCACGCTACGCTGTCATTTTTAACCAGAAAGCCACTTAGTGATTATGTCGCTAAGATAAAAAAAAATAAAAACGCCATAAGTTACATTTGAAGCTCATATCATCTTTGATAAAGAGGCATTGAAATAGCAAGCTGGAAACTGCCTCTCTGAACTCCACGTCTGTTAACTGCTCAACCATTAAGTTTCGAACTTCACCAGACACTATTTCCGTTGAAACTTTTCAAAATAAAATTTTTGAGTCTGGTTTTAGCCGTTTAGTTGGAATCACAAAGAAACTATAGTTAATTCATTTATGTTGTTTCATTAAACGCCTTAGTTGAATATATTATACTTTTTAGGACATGTTTTTTTTAAAGATTTTGACACATTCTTGTTTCTCTCAAGAAACATATTTTATTTTTATTTATAACTTCCTAAAAATGATAACACTGAATGTGTCTTGACTAACACGGAAATGTCATTTTCTTCTTCGCGTGATTCGTCTGAGAGAATAATAAAAGGATGCCACCTCTTGGCAAAAAGTTGAAATAAAATTATGTTTACATTTCGTCAAATAAATAGAAATGGCTATTTTTCCCCAAATCCCTTTTGGCATTATTATTATTATTATTATTATTATTATTATTATTATTATTATTATTATTATTATTATTATTATAATAAACAAAAAGTAGGCCTTTATTTTAGGAAGCTTGGGATTAGTACGCTAATTAACATGGAATTCACCTGAAATGTTCAGAAATAACTTAATTAATAAACAAATGTAAAAGCAAATAAATAATACCTAACAAATAAACAAAAGTCACAATAATTTGCTAATGTAATAAAATACAGAAGAACTTTTTTATGCAGATACACAGGTATTAGCATAAGTAATAGGTTAGATGTTCTGATAGAAAGCCTGAAGATATGACATGTGGAAGACTCTTTTTAGGCTAATAATAAATTATTCCATTGTTAAAAACTTTTTATAGTTGTAAATAACTATAAAGAGTTATATATATATATATATATATATATATATATAT